ATGGGAGGACAAAAATAAAAATCTCTCTTATACAATTATATAACAACCCTGAAAATGTTAAAAAAAAAACTACTAACTAACGTATATCGGTCTTGAAAACATGTAACAAGTTTGTGATTTACTCTACAGAAGGTTGTTTCTAGCTTGAACAAAGCTATTGTGCTTTTAATCTCATGATACTAATTTTTTTTTAACCTATACCAGTTCATCTAAAAAGTCACTTTATTAACAAACCTGAAAAAGTATTAAAAAAAAAATACTAATCAACATATATACCGGTCTTGAGAATATGTAAGTGTAACAAATTTGTAGTTTATTTTACAGAAGGTTGCTTATAGCTTGAGTGAAGTTATTGTGTCTTTAACCCTGTGTACTAATTTTTTTTTTAATCCATACCAGTTTGCTTAAAAGGTTTCCATATTAAAGTTATCATTTTTGAGGATGAAAAGCGAAGACAACACTGAAATTCTTGAAGAGCAGTTTTTAGACGTTAAAGTGCAATAAGTTGCGATCTTTTTATATTGCTTTTGACTTGGATATTACATTTGTTTCTTCAACTAACCAGAACTACAAATAATTAGTAATCAAAATTCTTTTGAAATAGTGGATACTCTAGCAGTAGGACAAACGTTCACTAGTTGGGATGAATTAGATCTTGAAGAGCAGTCTTTAGACGTTAAAGTATAGTAAGTTGTGATCTTTTTTATATTACTTTTGACTTGAATATTATATTTGTTTCTTTAACTAACCAGAACTACAAATAATTAGTAATCAAAATTCTTTTGAAATGGTAGATACTCCAGTGGTAGGACAAACGTTCACTAGTTGGGATGAATTAGATTGTTTTATATCTTTCTATACAATATCTCAGAACTTTGTCAATATGATACGTGGCTCAGAATATAATAATGGAGTTTGTCGAAGCCACTAATATGCTTGTGAGCATCAAGGTTCTAGTAGTATAAAAAATAAGACAAGCATTGTAGAAAATCAGTGAAAAATATGAAGTAAATGTATCAGGTACAGTTGGCAAGTTCATGCAACTTGTTCTAAGACAACTGATATATTAAGTATAACTTCTCTTTGTTTAAGCCATAATGATCATCTATTAAAAGATGAAACCAATAAGTTTGCTTCTAAATATCATGTATTTTCTGAAGAGATGTTAAAAGATATTAGGTTTTGGACAGAGGTTGGTAATCTTAATATAAGAACTCAATATCAGATGTTAACAAAACAATATGAGCTGTGATATATATTACATAATATCATTTTATCAAGGGGCTACCTCTTTCCTCCTACATCATACAGTCAAATCTCCATAAATACAATGTGTACAGACCAGCCTAAAACGTGCATTTAGGGAGGTTTGTATTTAGAAAGAACTAATCAAATTGCAGCTTTTAATATTTGATCTGCAGACTTGTATAATAAACTTAAATACTGACTTCTGATTGGCTAC